CAGTGATTGTGTACGCAGTACAGTCACAGCAATAAATATACAAGGGCGTCCCCTTTCACAATACACCCCTTTGCACACACAGAGCTGCCCTCTCCACTGAAGTAAATGCAGCAGCCAAGACACACAGGACTCTCTATACTGAAGGTTAATGTACAACAAGCCATTAAGAACACAACTATTTCTTTCCCGGCACACAATAGAGAAGTTGGGTCAGATTCCCTTACTTTCAAATATTCCTTTCATCGCATGGTAGCTCCACATGATGTTATAGCCATTCTATAATGTTCTGTAGAACTCGTTCCAAACATTTCCACGGAAAAGAAACCTTATGGTCAGTTTGTTCAGCCACTTTGGCCTTTAGTGGTTAGGGATCAGGCATACCCATAGGTAAAATGGGTTCATACTTAGTGCAAACTTTGTTGACCTGGTCATATCACTATTCACAGTCTGCAGGCACAATTCATAGCATCTCTCCAAACCCACTATTTTACTTTTTTTGTTTCCTCTTGTGCCCAGCAGAGAGAAACATATTCGCCTTCTCTTCCAAGACAGAAAAGCAAGAGGCGAGAACACAAAGTCCTGGCCCATAAGCCCATAATAATTTCTTTTCTTTGCATTTTTTGACACAGGAAGCTCCCAGGACATTGGTCCATGTAGCTCGGTATTGTCTAGAACGGGTTGCAGAAATTTATCGTCTGCTTTACCAAGCCTAAATGCCAGTAGATGAGAGTTAGTAAAGGTAAAGGGGCCCCTGACCATTAGGTCCAGTTGCAGACGACTCTGGGGTTGCGGCGCTCATCTCGCTTTATTGGCTAAGCTGCCTCTGGCGAACCAGAGCAGCGCACGGAAACGCCGTTTACCTTCCCGCTGGAGCGGTACCTATTTATCTACTTGCACTTTGACGTGCTTTCGAACTGCTAGGTTGGCAGGAGCAGGGACCGTGCAACAGGAGCTCACCCTGTCGTGGGGATTCGAACCGTCGACCTTCTGATCGGCAAATCCTAGGCTCTGTGGTTTAACCCACAGCGCCACCCGCATCCCTCCCAAGGTGGGAGTTAGTTGACTGCAAAACCAATTTGACTATCTATAGATAAGACTGACCTGCACCTAGCCTTTCCATTGTGCGATCGTCCCAATGCTAACTTTTCCACTTCACATACTGGGAACCTATTGCTATGTGATATGTTGGCAAAAGGAAACTATCTAGAGAAAGAAAAGGTGGTTGTGGTTGTCGAGAATTAAGGAAATGTGACAGATGTACATATTCTGGGAAGCAGACCTCCTTGGTTCTGCACGCCTCAGCAGAATGTAGGTGACATTTAACACACAAAGTCAAACTAGCAGATGGCTCCAAGCCCTCTGAGGATACACCTTTTTTAAGCCCAACTTACTCCACCGTTAAAAAATAATTAATATTTTAGAGAGAGGCCTTCTGCTCTAGTTGAACAATACGGTGCTCTTCCTTTCCGTAACAGAACTAGATGAATCCTGTCATAGCGAAAGAATGATTATCCTAAGTATAAATACAGGAATTTTCTAGAAATTCAACAGGATTTCTACTGCTTTAAACACTGCAGTCTACAAATACTATTAAAAAAAAATAATTCACAATGCATTAAGAAAAGCTGATTTTTGAAACACACCGTTAGACTAAGATAAACACAAATTACTGGGGGGGAATCACAGAACGTGATGGTCTTCAAATGTTTTAACCTCAATAACTCTAGAAGTGACATAAAATTTCTAAAAAGAAGAGTAATAAAACCCTGCTAGACATACGAATAGAAAAGACAGCTCAACAGTGACACCTTGTGAATTTAGTTAACCAGTATTTCTTCCTTGCTGTTTAAAGAATTTAGGGTTATATTGGCTTTTTTATGGAATGCATATCTTTAATCTAATCTATTTAAAACCACTGACAATAAACATCTGGAAGAGGGGGCATCTCTAATTAGCAAGCACTTAATTTGTTAAAGGGTTAGGGGAAAGGTATAAAAATTCAGTTATTCCTCTGCAAATAGCCACAAGTCCAGTCCTTAGAAACACTGCTCACTCTTCTCATGCTAAACACTGAATAAAATGATAAATTCTGAATAAATATGTCTCCCTGTTTTGCAAAACAGGGCAAAACAATTAAATTGATCCTGGGGGATTTCTCAACTAGGGGTTATGCAGATAGTCCTAGCTTTGGTTAGATTATGGTTCTGGTAACACCAAGGTTGCAGGTTTGATCCCCGTGTGGGACAAAGTCTACTTTTGGGTTGAATTTCCCGCACGTTGCGCTGCAGGGTAATTGCATCACACAAAAATGGCAGGCCTTGCTACCAAAAGTGCACAATACCTCTTACATAGTCATTCATGTGCAATACTGTCACAGTGCAGCAGGGGAAGAATTTGCCACAAAGAAGGGACTTTGCAACAGCTGGTGTGACACAACCTTGGGTTAAGAAACTTTGCCCAGGTTGCATGTTTTGAGAGATGAGAGATTTATGCCAATGTGCAGCTTGATTTAGGACAAAAAACTGTACTGTAGTATGAAATAGATCCCTTAGGACATTACCCTAGAAGTCTTTCCAATTGCATTTTCTGATATAAAACTTATGTAAAGTTATAGAGAAGTTTGCTGCAAAATCATAGTTAGCATAAGGTACTTCAGCCATGCCTTATTATCCACAGCTTCTGTCTGTGTCTTCAACATGTCAGGTAGAAAAAAAACAGGTGCAGTTCTTTCTAGAATGCAGATAATACATAGGGACTCATTCACCTCCTGGATTTCTGCTTTCAAAAAAGCTAGTTAACACAGGGAACTGTTTTAGCTTACTTATTAACCTAACCTAGATTTATAGCCTGCTTTTAAAGTCCAAAGAAAGTGTCCCAAAGGGACTACTCTGAATGGCAACAGCTCTCAAAGGTTATCTTCTGGAATCTCTTCCCAACACTGCTCCAAAAGGATCCTTAATTAGAAGTATAAGAAAGTGAACCTGAGACTTGCATGTAAAATATGCACTTTCCCACTGAGCTATGAGTCTTTCCCAGAGGTGAAAACTCCTCCAAAATGAAGGAAACGGAAGTCAATATGTGAAAGTTACTCTATACGCAACTATTGAAAGAGATTTCCCCAGCACTCGAGGCTGCAGGATCAGTTCAGTGTTGCATTTCTGCAGCACGGAGAGATGCTCTGTGCCAGCAGTGCCTATTCCTAGTGGTGGCTGGAATGGGAATGAAGAAGTACGAATCAAAACTTTGTATTAACCACAAGTGGCAAGCTGAAGAACAGTAAATTTAAAAGCTTCGTGATAATAAGGAAGATGCTCGTTTTGAAATCTTTTGTAAGTTGTGCGCATCATTTCAGAAGCCCTGCGGATTTCATTTACAATTAATAGAAGCAATGAACAATACCAGTTATCTGTGTACTATTGCCTTTTGAGTTTCTGAACTGTGTTTTCAAAAGACTCCAATCAAACCCACAAGACTCATCTCAAAAAGCAGATTAGTTTTATTGCTGAAAGCAATAACAAACAGCTCATTGTTGCTTTGTTTATTTCTCCAAGAACCTTGATTAGGAAACTTCAGCTGCATCTTATTTTTATTAAACCAGTAAGCTAAGTAAAATTTTATTCTTTTTGGCCTTTGCTTCAATTTAAAATGTTCACATCCTGCATGGCGTAAGATGTTCCTGTTAAACCAATAAGGAAAATTCATGTTGTATTCTGAAGCCCTGTACTCTGAACACCAGCCACTAAAGTTGATCAGATTTTTTGAAATATTTTTAGTATTATTATGTAGATATTTAATGGCATTTGCTTGGAAATGGTTTGAAGTTCAGAATCTTTCATTGCTAAATTTCATCCTGTTATTTCACATAAGGACTACTTGGACCCCCTTTGACTAGAAGATAACAAGAACTCCATCAGAATGGATTGGCAAATGTATATACCCTGCTCTATCTTAGGAGAGAGATGGGGAACCTGTGATTTTATTTTAAAAAGAAACCATACATTTCTAGCTGCCATAATTACGATATAACAGCAAAAGCAAGCACAGAAACAATAAGGAAGATAATTCTACAACGTTTTGGGAACTGGCATACACTGAAAGCGAACAAATGGAGGCAGGCCTTGGAAATTCTTGCCTGTTCATCCTCAATGGATACAAAATTCTCAAAACATTGCAGAATCAATGCAGTGGGCACAAAAGTTGGGCAAGGCATTGAGACAAGGAAGGCTGAACCACTCAAGTCTTAAGGGTGTTTATGCTAAAAAAAACCACACAACTCTACTGGGTTCAATGGAACTTTCTGATAAGTTATTAGACTTAAAACCTTGTAGCATAACCCTATGCATGTTCAGAAGGAAGACCCACTGTGTTCAGTGGGGCTTACTTAGGAAAGTGTGCATAGGAACGCAACCTTAAAATACTCAGCTATACTTTAAACTTCATTGCTTTCATCAGAACTTCTTAAAGATACGGAATGTGTTGAATGTGCTAACCTGCTGTAGTCTGGCATCCAGCATGTTAAGGGACATGCAGATTAGGTTAATTGCATGATGTGTAAATCAACTGTGGTCCTCAAGCCCACAGTAGATTTCAGTGTTCTTTATTCTTGCCATTTTATTCCTGAAACCCCATTTTCAGGTTCACTTGGGTTGCAGTAAAGGTCATCGTCATCCACTAACTTTCACGCGTAAATTTCTCCATGGTGAACAGTTCCTGCAAATGAGCTTCAGCGTATTGATATGTGAGACTCAACCCATTTTGGAGAAGACATGCTGTCCAAGTAGTAAAATCTAAATTCTTGATAGCACAAGTGCAGGAACAAGGCATCCTCACCAAGCAAAAACTATGTTTAGGAGCCGCATTGCAGTAAACAAACCATATCAAAAATTAACCCGTTGGACCTAAGCTACGCCACTGTTTCCATCTTTTCGTTGCATATAGCTAGGAACACACATAGATATATTGAAAACATCCCAGATTTATAGCCTCTGCAACATAGCAAGCATGATGTAAACAAATTTATTCACATTAGTTTTTGTGGTTTAATTTCCCTGATCTTATATTTATTAATTCCCAGGATTTTAACTGTATAAAAATGGCTTTTCAATATCTGCAAAAACAGTGCATCAGATTTCACATTCACTGCCAGTTACAAACATCCAGAATGTTTCTTTTTTCCTTGGTAGAGTTTCAAAGCCTGCAGACTCTTATTTGCTGCAGGAAAAGTCCTAGAATTTAGTCATCCCATTGCCCAAAATTACCACATAAACCTTTGGATTTCCTCGCTGTTCGGCCATTGAAAAGGTTTGTTCAAAAAGATATGGAAAGTCACCACGTTCACCAAAATATAAAAAGCCAATTCCAGGAAAAGTTTAGAAAGCGATGGCACAGGAATATTCAGCCTGTATATGATATATGGCAAAATGAAGTAACGGAACTCTAATAGCTTCTGGGGAACTGTGACAACAAACAAACATAAAAAATATACCAAATTCCAGAAAACAGATTTTGATTTCAGTGCATCCGTGAAACTCCAGCCAGCAAATATATAGACTGGAACTAATATGTACTTCACCAGTTCGTGTCTTTGAAAGATCTTTCTCCAGATGTAAAATGTGTAATGCCTGTTGTCTGCAAGCAAGTATTTGTGAGCAAACGTAAACTTCCAGACGAGGAATAGAGAGACGGTGGTGAGGATGCTGTATCGCAAAAAATGCTTCTGGACGGAACGGAGAAAATTGACCATTTTGCCTGGGGTTACTAGGTGAGGAAAGGAAAAAACAAGAGTAAAAGAAAGGAAGTAGAAAAGCTGGGGGAAATGCAGACAGGCTTCATGGCTGCTCCTGTCGCCAACGACAATGCTGCCATTGAGGACCACAAAAGTGAAGAAAACCAGCACCATCATGATGTATGGCCATGTCAAGAGAAAAAGAGTGGTTAGGTTTTTAAGTGACATGAGGTAGGCCTGGAGAAACCTGAAGAGTCTGATGAGTTCTGAAAAGGATCCCTTCGCAGGCGAGTTCTTCTGCTCTTTGCTTTTCGACAGCTCTGCCTTCCAGGCCTCGCTTAGTTTTTGTGCAACGACACTTCCTCCGCAGAACACAGTCCATACAACGTTGGTCTGACGAAACATGAAGCCGCAGAACCCAAGCAGGGCCGACGTTTTGTGATTGCCGTAAAGGCACATTAAATAAGCAAAGAGAGTGAAAAAGGTTGAGCCTGTGTCGGTATAATAAAGGAACGTAAAAAAATAAAGAGTTGGAAATGCTGCGAGCGTCAAGGTTGACAGAATTCTCTGAAATCCCGAGGCAGCCTAGAAAGGGCGACGAAAAAGAATAATTAGGACTGTTGCTTCCGTTACAAATTAATAACGAAATGGACAACCATTGGAAACTTTGTTTGCGCAAGCACCACTGAATTGGACAGGCATCTCATTTGTCGCAAACCATTATGTTTTAAGGTAACTTCCAGGATTTCAACTGCTAAAAACAGAACTGCCAACTGATTAAATAAGTTAAATCACCTTTAATCAAGTGCATTTCACTTGATTAATGTACTGATTAAAATCATGCATTGATAAAAACAATACTTCGGAAGCAAGAAGAATGCTTTTTTGCTTTTAAGTGAGGCACTTATTATTATTATTATTATTTGAATTTATATACTGCCCTATACCCAGAGGTCTCATATATGTCACAGTAGGCATCCTCTTAAAAAAAAAAAAAAAGGATTTCCCCTTCTCTCACAGGCACAAAGAATCCCCGTTCTAAGAGAGTGTTTGTAATTTGCAGTTTATATAAGCATTTGTATTTTAAAAATAATGGCTTAAATCTAACAGAGAATTGGGTGTGCTTATTCCCATTGATTTCAATGAGTTTAAAATTTAGAACCACATTTTTTCTTTTAAAAAGTATGTTGCCTGATTAATGGAAGGGGATAACTTTCTCGCTTCCTATTATTTTTTAACTGGTTAATCCTAACCAATTAATCTACCAAGCACTGCAACCCTAGTAAAACCACATTTCTGACCAAATGACCCATCAAGAGTAAGACTGGATTCCCATAAACCTGAGACTACATGGCTCTTACTTCTGAGTAGACTTGTATAGGATTGCACCCAAAATGAATATTGCTAAGATCCTGAACATAACATAGTGTAAACCATCGCAAAATCCTTAAAAAGTCCTTATGACTGCATTACAAGCCTATGAAAAACCAATGTGACTTATAGTCACAGGTGTAATATTAAGCACATGCGTAAGTCTTTGCTTGCCACGTGCGCAAAAAGCTTCTAAAAGTACTTGCTTTTGGAAAAACAGGAAGGCAACATAGTCTAAGATGCTGGGAAGATCCAAATGTTATTGCAGAAACAGAATAAAATGCAGCTACATCATAATGGAAGAGTTCAGAGTTTTGCCAAGCCTCTGACACATTAATGGTGCTACTGTGTACAGGAATGACACTCTTTTAAGTGTGATACATTTGCACTGTACCTTTTTATGGTGCATCCTGCAAAAAAGCAAATATAGTAAATAGAAGTTCCCAATGCTGAACAGAAGATTGATGAATCTGAGCATTCCTGTAGAGCAGACTATGCTTCCAGACCACCCAAAGAGCCACGCTGCAGGTTTCACAATTCCAACTGACACCAAATATAAACCAGGAAGTGTAGTAATCATGGGGTCCCACTGCAAAAAGAGAGAACAGAAAGACAATAAAATTAAACAGCTCAGAAATGTATTTTTATAATTAGAAAAACAGAATGCAAAATTAATGAATTCAGTTAAACTTCTGCTTCCTCTTTCTGTTAGTCCCATGTATATTATGATGATGATGAGGAGGAGGAGGAGGAGGAGGAGGAGGAGAAACAGAGATTTGTACATCTTCCTGTGCAGAAATTAGTGTTCCAGGTATATGGGAAATTTAATCATCTTGGGAGAGAGATGAAAATCCCTGATTCACATTACATTGGCAGTTTCGAAAATGAAATGCACGTTATTTGTGTCACTTTTTTTTTTGCTAAGGACGCAGTCTGCCGAAGTCATGTTTTAGAATTTTTGTTTAAACAGAAGACGAAGTTCCATCTTAACTGAATTCCATTTAGCTGATTCTTATACAGTGGTACCTCAGGTTAAGTACTTAATTCGTTCCGGAGGTCCGTTCTTAACCTGAAACTGTTCTTAACCTGAAGCACCACACACTGCCAGAGCACGATTTCTGTTCTCATCCTGAAGCAAAGTTCTTAACCCGAGGTACTATTTCTGGGTTAGCGGAGTCTGTAACCTGAAGCGTCTGTAACCTGAAGAATATGTAACCCGAGGTACCACTGTATGCTATACAATTTGATATGTCAATATTTGACTATATGAGTCGGCTAACCCTTAATGCCAAACAGCGCTGGGTACAAGCTGGGAAATTACAAATTAAGGCTTGTTTCCAAATCATGATCTAGTGTTATGGATGGACTGGCCCTTGCATCCTCTTAGCTGTCTCATATAGTCAACTGGGTTTCATCTCTGAAATGTCTCTGATAGCTCATTCTGAACCACTAGCCAAGAATCTGGTGTTTTTTCCCCTGACATATTATAAAAATTTGTCCCTTTCTGACTATCCCAACTGCTAAGTCCATGTAAAGCCGATCTCTGCCTCACTGCATGCTTACTGCCAAACAGTTGCAACAGGCTAGAAAAGTTATATGTGCTAATCCCTGCATAAAAGCTATTTGGGCAGCAATGGGGAACTTCCAGCCAGCTGGCCTAACTACACTGGCACAGGTCCGAATTTGACACTTGAGGCCAGTTCCCACAAGCTGCCACTCTGCCCCACAGCCGGCATCATATATATGATGTCACGTTTGATCCAGGTATGGGTGCAGCTAGCAACTGGCTGCATAAGGTGAGGTCCTCATTGTTCCTTTGCAAGCAGGGTTCCCTCTCAGCGCTGATCAACTGATCACCATTGATCATAACAGGTAGGAATGGGCCAATATATATGTGGACTGTCCCTGGATAAAGTGAATTTTCTTCTTTAAGTTCCCAAAGTTCTTAACCTAGCTCAAGGTTTCATCAGAACTAGCCAGATGCTTAACGGATAATCAATCGCAGTCAGCCAATCTTTTGAAAAATATGACTTTAGAGCTGTCTTGTCCCAAAGTGGCTACTAGACATTCTGTTTCGGTGAGAAGAAGAATCGTGCAGTCTAACGATTATTCTATTTATTACCCATTGCTACTTATATCAGGAAAGTGGCAAATTGCGTGGTAATAGTCACTGGGTGTGAAACAAGATCTGAGTGGTGTTGCATATTCTATTTAATGAAAGTACATGTCATTTTTAAGTGCATATACCTTTTTATAAGCTGTCACTGAAATTATGCTATTATTTCTGAAGGAAGGCTTGTAGGTGGAGCCTATGTATAAATTAAGTGGGTCTTTGAAATAACTGTAGGCAGGAATTTTGCCTCATACAACAATCCTGTATCACTTACTTTGGAGTAAGCCCAATTGAACTCAATGGGATTTACTTCTGAGTACCCATGTATAGAAAGGTAAAGGTAAAGGTACCCCTGCCCGTACGGGCCAGTCGTGACCGACTCTGGGGTTGCATGCCCATCTCGCTTAAGAGGCCGGGGGCCAGCGCTGTCCGCAGACACTTCCGGATCACGTGGCCAGCGTGACGAAGCTGCTCTGGCGAGCCGGCACCAGCGCAGCGCACGGAAACGCCGTTTACCTTCCCGCTATAAAGCGGTACCTATTTATCTACTTGCACTTAGGGGTGCTTTCGAACTGCTAGGTGGGCAGGAGCTGGGACCGAACGACAGGAGCTCACCCTGCCGCGGGGATTCGAACCGCCGACCATACGATCGGCTAGTCCTAGGCGCTGAGGTTTTACCCACAGCGCCACCCGCGTCCCTTCCCATGTATAGAATTGTGTTGTTAATGCGCTCTGCTTCGATGTTCATGTATGATGCGCACAGATTGCTGCTGCAGATTTACTGGGGACAGTTGAGGGGGAGAGTAAAGTGGACAGGGAAGGATTTAGAAAGATTAGGACTGTAATCCCTTGGGCTGCACAAATAAAGGGGGGAAATGGAGTTTCTAAGGAACTGCAACTGCAGCACAGATGCAGCTCCAGAATCTGTTTCCCATGCCAGGGCTCAGACGGGAAACATGCAAATTGATTTTTATAAAGGGAGGAGTCTCTGAACGTGAGCAGATTGCATTGTACAATTCCTCACCAATTAGGGTTGGAATTGGGGGTGGACTTTCAGTATCAAAGGGTGCAGTTTGGGGGCACTTTGAGCCCCAGCACTTATCTTAAAAATCAGAATTCTGGGACACAACTGGGCACCATCAAGACCTTGCGGTGCTGTTGGGAAAGTGAAACACATGAAGAGCTTTGCAGACTGAAAGCAGCCCTTTTACGCACATGATTTAGTTCTTATAGATGTATAACAGAAGTTGTCCTTCACCACCTGTCTTGTATAGTACAGGATTGCCCCATATTTCAATGTAAAATTCTACGTCCTGTATCAGTAATAGTTTTGTCCTGCATTTCAGGTCTTCCCCTCTCTTTGCCAAGTTAGAGATCCTCTTCCAAGGCACGTGTTTGGAAAGCTGTGCATTTAAGCACAGACAGATCTATAAATTCATGTGTATGTGTGTGCATGTGACAAATTCCAGACGGGCCACCCTAAAAGGCTGCAATAGATGGCAATGCATTGCTCTGAAGTCACTTAGGGGAGGAAAATCACCACCATCATCATCACCAGTGCTTTTTTCTGGGGGGATGCATACCCTTAAACATTTTGTGAATCTAAGTTTGGCCTCATTGAGGGGCAATATTTCAATATGTGTAGGAAAATGAGAGTATCCCTAAGCATTTTTTAAGTGGAAAAAGCACTGATAATCACCCAACTGCCCTACCCCACCCTATATTTTGCCAGAACAAAAGTGGTAACCCTAGTTCTAAACCCTGATGGCCAAATTCGGATTTGCAGGGCTTGAATAATAATAATAGTAGTAGTAGTAATAATAATAATAATAATAATAATTTCCCCAGCCACTCTGGGCGACTTCCAACAAAACACAATACAGTAAAATACAAGAACCTATTAAACGCAACCCTGTATCGGGAAATTTTTTAATATCTAATGCTTGACATTTCTTTAACGTGCTGTAAGCCGCCCAGAGTGGCTGGGGAAACCTAGCCAGATGGGGGGGTATAAATAATGAAATTATTATTATTATTATTATTATTATTATTATTATTAAGCATAGGCTTCCCTGCACCCCTTGACAGATGCCCTGCAAATCATAAACGGAAAGGTACGTGCGTGAGGTTTAAAACCTACAAGATCCGACAAACTACCCCTCTGCTTTGACTCAAGGCGGGCGTCTTAAGAGCAGGTGAAAGTAGCGGGGGGGGGGCTCGTCGGACTCCATCTCCCATCAACCCCCGCCATCAAGAGCCACGCAGAGGGATGATGGGAGTTGTAGTCCAGCTGCGGCCCGGCGCCCCCCCCCCCGGACCTAGCCACCCCTGAACAAACCCTTTTAGTCGCCGGGGATAAAAGAGGGCGAGGAAGGCGGCCGTGGCAAAGAGCGGCGGTTTGGTTATCCCCGCGGCTCGCGCGGCCTACCTACCTGCTGGAAGCGCCCCTCGCAGTAGGCGTGCGCCTGAGGGACGTGGAAGGCCTCGTCCATGTAGGGCGAGCGCTGCTGTCGGTTGAGCGCCGAGAAGAGCAGGCACGAGGCGAGGAAGGCGCAGCTGAGCGCCGCCGAGAAGTAGTAGGCCTCGGAGCGCTCCATTGCTGGCGCCGGGGGTCGGGAGGGGAAGCGGGCAAGAAAGGCGAGGCCCGCCCGCCCGCCGCCTCAGGATAAGGCGAGCCCGGTAAGCCTGAGGCGCTGCTGCCTCGCGCGGCCGCCCAAGTCCCGGCTCGGCGTTGTCCTCTCAGGCGGGGGAAGCCGCTGCTTCAAGCCGAGCTTTGCGGGGAAGGGGCTGCCGGGGACCCTCTCCGCCCCTCCTCCGAGAGCCAGGCCGGGCGCTTGGCGAATATCTCCCTTTTTTTCTAAGCTCGCCTTGAAAGGCTCTGTGTGTGTGTGTGTGTGTATTGCCACACTTTGTGCAACGGCTTCCGTGTCGCGTGTGTGAGCTTTTAAAAAAAAATATTTTTAAAAAATACTTTTCAAGTTTACGCATTTCACCCATTTTTATACCTTTCACTCATTTTACAATCCTTTCTTTTTAAAAAATTATTTATACTATCAAGTTTATGCATTTGACCAGCTTTATACATTTCACTCATTTTACAGTCCTTTTCACATTTCAATACTTGGACTTCCTTTCCCCTCTTTCTACGGCTCCGTAACTTTATTTTCAAGATCTTCTGCGTATTGCAAATTAACTCAATGTGCTCGTTTATTCATCTTCTTTAAATATATACTCTTATGAAAACGGCAGGTTATTAAAATAATCCTGCCAATATTTTTACCTGTTACCCAGTCAGATGGATGGGGTATAAATAATACAAATTATTATTATTATTATTATTATTAATCTGTAAATATTCATTAAAGCATTTCCATTCTTTTATTTTTTTAAAAAATTGTTATCTCAATTTCTTATTCTTCCAGTAAGTTTCACCCCATTTCTGCATATTCCATAAGTTTTTGTATCCATTTTTCCTTTGCTGGGACTTGTCACACGTGAGCTTCCTGTGTGCAGATTGCAGACCCTCCTGATATAGGAAAAAATAGGGGTGGCTGGCTTTTGCTGGCCAACTCCCCAGGACCCCTAAGTCCAGGATCAGTCAGAGGTGAATGGATGGAGGCAGGATCCAATGGAAAGCAAGGCGGATCTTTATTTTTCCGTTACAACAGAGTTCCCTCCGCCTCCTAACAAGGAGGCGAGAGAGACCCAGAACATCTCTTTTCAGGGTTTGCATCCCCTCTACAAACAGGCAGAAATTACATCCCACCTAAGATGGGGTTACTGTGGCAAATCCTCAGGATTTGGCAAGTTTTACATAAGGTAGTTCCAGTTTACACAAAAACATTAGCATTTGATAAGACCATCAGGATGTCTGTCAGGCATCCCTCAATCTGGGCAAACTATGACAATTAATACAAAGGAGGTTCATAGATATAGGAGATGAATCCCTTCAGAAACTTCCTCTGATGGCTATCTGCTTACCTGTTCTCAAGCAGGGGGGGGAGATTAAGGAGGCAGAGGAAATATTTGCAGTATTTAGGAGAGCCAAGATGGCTTTTGGATTGCCCTCCTGTACTATTTTAGACACGTGGTTCGTATACTTATGTATACTTAGGTATGCGTGTTTACCTCGTGCAATCATCAACATTTATTCTATATTTGAGATCTTAGAATTCCTATAGCATTCCCAAAGGTTCCTATTTTCAAGGGATTTACAGAAGCCATCACACTCACACTTTTCAGTTTGAACTCTGAATGCCCCGCTTTTCCTTAGGACATCCCTAAGGAGGTTTGAGAGCGAACATCCTTTTCCTGTCGTCAGCCAGCCAGTCACTATTCAGAGGTAGACTGTCCCTGAATCTTGAGGTTCCATGCATTTTGATCTGATGTGCAAGGGGGGGGGTGAGTTGCAGAATTGTTAAATGCCAGAATATAAACAAGGGTCTAAATTTGAGGCCACAGGCCAAAAGACCCTCCTGCCCCACCCCTTGGCTGTGCACACATACGTAGAAGAAAGATAATTGACTATTAAGATCTTATTTTGTTGTTTTTGCTTATCTGCTTCTGCACAGGACCAACTGTGACTCACTGAAACTACTCACAGGATCGTCTTGGAAAAATTAATTGGATCACCAGCGCTAAAGGTATTCATTTATGGAATTTATTTAAAAAGTGACCCCATTGACAGCAAAGATTGCCCATTAATAGCAAAGATTGCATCAGAATCATCCCTTTGTCAAGTGAAAAGTTCAAGAACACATTTGGAACACATTTTTTAAAGCTTACAAATGGGATGTGTGTGTGAGAGAGAGAGAGACAGAGGGCGGGAGGAGCATATGTCATTTGACCCATCACTCCTGAACGCTCTTTCCATAATGAGTGTCTCTTATTCTAAGCAATAACATTTCTATGGAATTTTGTAGATTTTTTTTAAAGAAACACTATGCACCAGTTCACTCTGTGAACAGACTCTGTCCATCACAAAAGTCCCAGCACATTTCAGAGAACTGGGGGGTGGGGGGGTGGATCTGCTGTCACTTTGTGTATGGTTTGGAAAAGAAAAAAACAGTGATAACAACTCAGGCTGCCTTTTGCAAAAACACAGTATGGCTGTTGGAATCCAGCTTCTGCAGGGTTTTCCAGAGAATGGGTCAATGACAACTCCAGATAACGACCGGCTAAGCCAAAATGTATAAACACTGAAATGCAACGTATTTTTAAATGCTGGTTTGGCCGTGAAAGTCATGTATGTATTGTACTTCTGCACAATGAGAGGTTACGAGTCTTACATTTTTGTTTAAAGCAGAAAAGCTCAATATAACTATAAAAATTAGTATGAGCGATATTCCCAAAGCTGATGCACGTTTTGCATTTTTGCACCGTGTCTTTGTCAAAGAATGACAGGCCACATAAACCCTTTATACTTACAAGATCAGACTGCTTAAATCAGAATAAATTTAGAGCATAAACTTTTCAAAGTAGTTCGGTTTTTCCAGCTGCTGACATGGAACACGGTCACTAGGCCGAGTTCATTCTAATCTTGTGCAGACTTGACAACTTTTGAAACGTCTCTATGGAATGTAGCCTTAAGCTTAATTAAGTAAAACTACTAGGCAAAGAGCAAACACAAAAGTATCAACAATACCCATTGGTCACTTTTTATAAATGTTCCAGGTTTGACTGATTCGGAAGCAGCATACTGCTGTGTTGCAAGATGCAGTGTTTTACACATCGACTGGAACTGTTTCCTGACTGCCTTGTTACTCTTATCCTATTTAATGATGTGAAAAATGCTGCCACGCTAAGAAAAAAAGCAATGGAAGGAGCTATTGATGGAGCATTAATTAATCCTGCAATGGTGAGCAAACTAATTTTTTAATGTATTCATTACTGTGGTAACGCAAGGTTTGCAAAACTCACAGAGCTTTTGCAATCCTGCCTGTGTGAAATTCCGAGTTTCAGGAGCTGTATTAGATGTGAAGGAGAAGGCAATAGATTGCTATTCAGGTAGGAGCAGGTCAGCGAGAATGTTAACTGTGCCCAGTTGGACAAAAGTACAGATCTTTCAGGAAACTTGTGAAAGGTTGTATGAGAGAATGGATGGAACATTTACCGGGGCGCTCTGCCCTTTCTGTAGCAACTTTCCTGCATCCAAGAAACATTGTGTTTTGCTGAACACAAAGTAAAATGAAAGGGGACTTTAATGGGTGTGTTCGTTCTCTACCCATCCTTTGTTCAAGCCAACCGTGTTTGATCTCTATGGCTCCCTCTGTCTCCCAGATGTCTTTGCAGCGAACTGCTGTGCTGGCATGGCTAGTGAGTAGAGCAGACAAATGAGGAAATACTGGATGTGTTTAGATGCTGATGGCTGCCTGAAAGTGGCCCAAAACCACTGTTTGAGAAGCACTGCCCTACTGGCTATATGTTTGCTTCTTATCTGGATTTTGGTTTATTTGTTCTCATATTAAACCATTTTGAATATGCTAGATCAGTTTCTCATTTTTTAAAAAAACTGCAAAATAGAAATTTCACATCTGGGTGAGAGAAGAGCTGTAGAAAAGTTTTCACTTTCCTCAGGATTTCAAAATGTTTATCCACATTTTCTCGTGATTTTTTCTTCTTTGTTTCTTCTCAATATTCTTCTCATTATACTGCTGTACTCTCTGCAAAAGGCTTTTTTTCTGATTCTTTACAAGATAGTGAGAGCTGTACAGTGGTGCCTCGCAAGACGAAATTAATCTGTTCCGCAAGTCTCTTCGTCTTGCGGTTTTTTCGTCTTGCGAAGCACGGCTATTAGCGGCTTAGCGGCTATTAACAGCTTAGCGGCTTTAAGAAAAAGGAAACGAACTCGCAAGAACTCGCAAGACATTTCATCTTGCGAAGCAAGCCCATAGGGAAATTCGTCTTGCGGAACGACTCAAAAAACGGAAAACCCTTTCGTCTAGCGAGTTTTTCGTCTTGCGAGGCATTCGTCTTGCGGGGCACCACTGTATTAATAGGATTCCAGTTTCCTCAGGTAGAAATGTGATGTGTGAATTTAATTTTCATTTAAATATCTACTTGTACTGTTACTACTGTATGTTTAGACCTCAGACATGGTTTTAGTGATAGACCAAAGTTATTTACAATGTGTGGAATTGCCCCCCCCCCTTTGCTCCTTGTTTCAACATTTAATTGATGGCATAACAGGCTCTTTGCCATTTCTAAAGTATATTTTTCCTTCTTGAGCTAAGGAAAGCAGTGGGTCTATTTTAAGGCCTACCCCTGGAAACCAAACTTTATTCTGTATTTTTTGGCAGATTGTTGATCCATTTCAGTTACTCGTGGCAACGAATAAAGCTGTACATCTCTACAAGATCAATAAAATGAAGACAAGAACTCTTAACGCTGAAATAATATTCAACCTTTCCCCGAACAATAATGTAAGATGGCTGCCTACAGCATACTCTGAATTTATTTTATTTATTTTATTTTTTTGCAATAAGAGCACAATAAGAGCCCTGCTAGATCAAGCCAAAAGTCCCATCTAGTCTAGTATTCTGGACTCGTAGTGGCCAAACAGGTGCCTATGGGAAGAATTTGAGCAGGACCTCCTGACTGTAACAGTGAAATAAGATTTTCTTGTCCCTGAAGAAGGCTGCTAATTGAAAGGTGTTATGTATATTATTCACCACACAAAATATTTCCTGACCATCAGTTTGCCTGCACACATACCCTCTTACTAAGCCACCCTCGTCTCTGCAAGACTGAAACAAGGTCTTAACAAAGCATTCAGTCTTAGGCTTCACAACTGCTACCCTTTTACTGAGTTCATAAAATATGTAATCTGGATGCTCATTTTATGAGATACTATTTTTTCCCCATTCCCATTCAGGAATTGCATCTGATTCCACTATAATCTGCCCCTACCCCAGTAAACAAGGACTGTAGGAAACAGTGTTCTTGGTTCTCTGGCTCTTCTTTTGGCTTGAGACTCCTCACAGAGGTCTGACCTATAAGAAGGCAAGCTTTCCTGTACAGGCCTGGACACTTTGTGACACCCCCACCATCCCAGGAAAACATAACCCAGCCATGTATTTTGCCTTGTTGGCTCCCTTTCTTGTTCTTGCAGACCTGGGTGGGTAGCAAAAACACTGGAGAATTGAATTTCTGTTTGATATTATTATTATTATTATTATTATTATTATTATTATTATTATTATTTATTAATACCCTGCCCATCTGGCTGAGTTTCCCCAGCCACTCTGGGCGGCTCCCAATCAAGTGTTAAAAACAATACAACATTAAATATTAAAAACTTCCCTAAACAGGGCTGCCTTCAGATGTCTTTTAAAAAGAAGATAGCTGCTTATTTCCTTCACATCTGAAGGGATTGCTTGCAAGTTGTGCAGGTCTGCTCTACAGCCCACACATGCAATGTGTCCTGGGCTTCCTCCAGACTCTTCCTGCAGTAATATTAGAACAAAAACCAGAGGTTTTCATGTACAGTATTTACACCACCAGGATCCCTACATTAAATGTGTCAACTTAAAGGTCTTAGAAGTCCCATAACCGTACAAGAAGTTTTTACCACTCCTGCCCATCTCTTGCTTTGACACAGCTTATCATTCTTTAAATCTGACATTAATATCCTCTGCATGTCCCTCATATAGTGACTTGAAAACACAGGAATGAATATTAAACTGCCTATGATAAAACAGGCCCACATTTGTTGTAAGTATTTATCTTGTGAGATAGTTAACATTTCACTTAACAACTAATTTAATCTTTTCAGAACCAAATAAATGGGATAAATATGTTTTGTGAGATGCTCTGGGTTGCTAGGATGTGACTGACATACATAAGAACACGCAATTCTGTATTTTAGATTTCAGATGCCTTCAGAAAGTTTGGCATTTCGGACAGTGACACCGCAGTACTCATTGTTCTGGTTGAAGACCAAGAGAAAACCGTGAATCTGGACGACGTAATACGTCAAGTGGAAGGCCAGCAAGTCCCCTTATCAGACCTCCCCAAAATAACAGACCTACAGAAAGTTAAAAAGGTTTGTACAAGTTTGTCCCGGGTTAAGGGTTGAGATAAGACAAAATATAGCATTTTCTTTGGTTTGTAATGACAGTTTGTAATTGTAATTTTGCAATTACTTTTAGTACAGAGTGGGGGGTGGGACCTGTGATTCTCCAGATTCCCACAGCCCCAACTAAAAGGAGTGTGGCAAATGGGAGTTGAAATTCAATTTGTGGTGGGCCACAAGGTGTTAATTTCTGAGATAGATGGACATATAGTGGAGTCTTAAGCTCACTAAATCCAATTGGATCCCCCCCCCCCGTTAAGCATGAGGGGATCTACCCACTGATCTAAACCACCGAGCCTCTTGGGCTTGCTGATCAGAAGGTCGGCGGTTTGAATCCCCGCGACAGGGTGAGCTCCCATTGCTAGGTCCCAACTCCCACCAAGCTAGCAGTTCAAAAGCACGCCGAAAAAGTGCAAGTAGATAAATAGGTAATGGCATTTCTGTGCACTTCTCTGGTTTCGGTGTTCCGTTGTGCCAGAAGCGGCTTAGTCATGCTGGCCACATGACCCGGAAAAACTGTCTGCGGAAGCAGACAAACGTCGGCTCCCTCGGCCTGTAAAGTGAGATGAGCACTGCAACCCCAGAGTCATCTGCGACTGGACTGTCAGGGGTTCTTTACCTTTACCTTTAAGCATCCTTAGCAATGCAAGCATACCCCTACATTTTCTTAATCTTTTGTGTCTTACATTTTCCCCACTCTGTATTGAGTGTTTTGACTACAAAGTACATTCGGGTGCAGTCCCATGGTCCCTGGAGAGGACATCCCAGCAGCCATTGATGTTGCCATTTTTTGTGGGTGTAGAGAGAGGTCCAGAAGTAGAAAAGTAGGTCCACCCCTGGAGACCCCTGGAGATCTTCTCAATTCAGCCATGGAGACCTCTGAAGCCATCCCTCCTCCCCTGTTGGTGCTGGGGGGACAGAGAGAGAGAGAGAAGGAACAAGTTGGGGCTGAACCAAGGGAGATTTTTGGTTCATAGAATCAAAGTCACCCCATTCCCCTAAGAAGGGTGTGAAAAAATATGACAGCCTTGGAGCTGCCATACTTACCATATTTTTCGCCCTATAGGATGCACTGGCCCATAGGACGCATCTAGTTTTTTTGGGGGGGAATAAAGAATTCCCCCCCCCAGCCGCAGCATCAGCGCGCCCCGCGCTGCGGGCAGCATGCTGCTATCCGCAGCCTAGGGAGCCCTGCGGAAACTCCCGCGGGCTCCCTAGGCTTGCAGATAGCTTCCTGAAGCCTGGAGAGTGAGAGGGGTCGGTGCGCACCGACCCCTCTCGCTCTCCAAGCTTCAGCGAAAGCCTGCATTCACCCCATAGGACGCACACAGATTTCCCCTTCATTTTTGGAGGGGAAAAAGTGCGTCCTATAGGGCGAAAAATACGGTATTTCCGTTCTAGCTGTCTCCTCCCCAGCTTTGATTCCTGCATTGCAGGGGATTGGACTAGATGACCCTCATGGTCCCTTCCAACTCTACAACTCTTAAGATTTTATTATTTGCTCTAGCAGGGCATTGGAAGTTATAGCAGCTATGCTTTGGATTCTCTCTTCTGCCTGCCATAGGATTGCTGTGCCCATTTTTTCAACTTGACCTATAAAGCTGGACAATCTTTTGCTCCTCCGGAAAGTGACTATTCCATTTTCTTTGCAGTTGTACAAACTCACCCCACAGGAAGAAACAATAGGCACGCTGCTGGATGGCATCATTTGTAGAATGGCAACTAAAGATGTTTCATGAAAAAAAAAGTTAGGACATTGAAACAGTTTTAGCCTGAAACAAATGTTTCTTTCAATTTTTCTGTTTGGTCGAGCCTGTGTTAAAATGGCCTGAAGTCTAACTCTTATTTTGTTTGAAAACGGAAGCTGTCACAATTTTATTACAAACATGGAAGAATGTTTGGGTATTTTGATTATTTTATAATCAAGGAAGTAAAAGTTTATTGTTTGCTGTATTTTTGCATACTGCCCTTCTGGCAATGTACGCCCGGCGGTGCACAATTTAAAAGACTAAAAGAGAGGGAGAGTAAAAGATACAAAAAGCAAAACAATAAAATGACAGCATTCTCTCGGGTTATTGGTCTTGCTAGGTGCGAATGGTGTCGGCATTGTGGCTTGGCCTTCTCCTTTCCCCTTAGTTAACACAGTTCTTTAAAGTAACCCTTGGGGGTGTGGTGGAGCTAGTAGCGCTGTCAGATAAGGACTTTGGGCAGAAGTGGAGGCTGCCCTCAGCAAAACAAGGACAGGGGCCTCCAAATGAACCATGGCTGGCTTACCACACTTTGAAGCAAGTGGTACACATTACCAGATGAGCTTGTGAAGTTGTTGTATCAGTTCAGTTCTGTCCACTTCGAAGACTTTGGCAAGTACCCCATCAGGTCCACTGGCTTTGTTGTTTTTCATTTGGTTAATAGCTGTACACATCTCTCCCAAATTTGGAGATACCGCAAGCAAATCCTCACCGTGATCAACTCCCGTCCGGAAACCTATGTCCCCACTGTGGAAGGACGTGTGGATCCAGGATTGTCCTCCACAGTCACTTACGGACTCACTGTTAAAACCATGTTCATGGAAAGCAATCTTACTCAGCTACGAGTGATCGCCAAAGAAGAAAACACACTGCCATCAAAAAAATTCGCCCACAATAGGACTGTTGAAGCCATAGTCTAAAATTGCCAAATTGTGCCACTGAGCAGAGAGGCTGATGCTGATGTACTCTTTCTTAAAGCAGTTCCTGAATCTGTAGTATTTATCAGTACAGAACCTGGAACTAACTTTGTAGGGATTTGAATATCTGTGGTGTGATCCATATAGGCAGTCTTGGCTTAAGTGTGGTCCATCTGGTGCTGTATTAAGAGCTTAAGATGAGCAGCTCGATCGGGGCCAAAAGCCCATCTGGAACAGTATCCTTTTCTCACAGTGGCCAACCACTGGCCAATTACAGGAAGTCCGCCAGCAGGACTTAAGACAACAGCGCACTCCTTGCTTACGATCCTCAGTATTCATGCTGCTTCCTTAAACCGTTTCCCTATCTGCAATATTCTCTTCATTAGAATAACCCTTATCACCATCCAGGATTACAACTGCTATCATCCCTGATCATTGGACTTGTGGTTGGGGCTTATGGAAGCTGTAGTGCAAGGTTACAAGTTCCCCATTCCTGTTTTAAGGTATTTTTTCCAAGGCTGAAACAAAAGCATTTAGTGCCTTAAACCAATACAGTGGTACCTCGGGTTACATACGCTTCAGGTTACAGACTCCGCTAACCCATAAATATTACCTTGGGTTAAGAACTTTGCTTCAGGATGAGAACAGAAATCCTGCTCCGGTGGAGCGGCGGCAGCAGCAGCAGGCCCCATTAGCTAAAGTGGTGCTTCAAGTTAAGAACAGTTTCATGTTAAGAACGGACCTCCTGAACGAATTAAGTATGTAACCAGAGGTATCACTGTACTCAGAATTAAGATAGAGGATTTTAACTTCCTTTGCTGCTGTATAGATGGATATTACAAAAAATCATATGAATGTTACAAGGGAGGAGCATTAAGAGGAGTTTAGGATATACAGTTGTACCTTGGTTGTTGAACGCCTTGGTACTCATACGTTTCGGATCCCGAATGATCGAAACCCGGAAGTGGGTGTTCCAGATTTTGAAGGTTTTTTTGGAAGCCCAACATCTAATGCAGCTTCCGCTATTGTTTCCAGCGCGCCTGCGCAATCGGAAACTGTGCCTTGGTTTCCAAACATTTCGGAAGACGGGCGGCCTTCTGGAACGCATTCTGTTTGAAAACCAAGGACTGTATAATTCATATCTTTTGTAGCTTATAGATTCTGAGAATGTCAGTCTGTGCAACTTGGACAGTGTGCTGAGTCTTCATTTTTCTCCCATAGTTTTACAAGAAGCTAAGGGTAAACAGATTTGCATATGCTGTAGTATTTTGATAGAGAATGTCCTCTCATACTTGGCCTTAATACCAAGTTTGCTCCTGGAACGTGATAGTATTTTAACTGGATAGATCTGATGCACAGGTTTTTTTACAATGACATCAGCAAAATGGCCCAGAGATCATTTAAGCTTTGGATCCAACACTTTATAATGTATACAGTGCTTGTATTTTGATTAACAAGGGAAAGTTAGACATCTTTCGTATATTCCTAGGAAGTTAGGTTGTTTTGAAATCAGAAAGGCAGCTGTATATGCAACAAAACCCACATGCTTGTACAAATCATAACAAGATGATGATCTGCAGATGCTTCTTCTCAGAGGGTATTAGAAAACTGGAAAGGACCTAAATTTTGGGCTACCATTTAGTACCCTACCCTCCATGAACCCCTGTTGCATCCCCCACCCTGCAAAAATCAAGCCTGCCCAAGTCTGGCCACACAGCAAAGATGCACACTGTACAATAATTGCTCCCAACAACTTTTGCAATGGGCTGTGCTTACACACCACAGGAAAAGAGAAAAAAACCACGAGGACACTTGCCAGTCTGGCCCAATGAAAAATGCCATCTTTGTTTGCCTGAAAGGAAATATTGGAGCTTGAACGCAAGCAAACACCTTCCACCAGTGGTCTCAAGGTAAATTCACCTGGTTATATGCCCCCTTGCCCCTGATTATTGCTGTTTCTGGTGTCCCAGGAAAAATGGAAGGGAGCACATGTTAGCTCTTTTAGTGGTGTAAGTAACTGGCAGCTTGCACACATTTAACTTGGGCACATTCAGCTTTATGCACTTGGCAGATAGATATATATTTCAATATAGATATATATAGAACCCAATGAGTTTCTACTATACACCATTTGGGCATTATGCGATATCCCCAAAACGTAATCCCAGCATAAGCCAAGAGTCACCTGTATTCATTATACAGCAGCGTTATGTGTTTATTTGCATATAAGCGCTGAAATAGGCCTGGCTCCAGCCTCCATATGAACACAGCAGCTGTGAGTGCTATTTTGTGCATGCCCCTTGATCCTACCGCAGTTCATCTGTTCCATTCAGGGACACTTGCATGGCACTGATCAGGGAAAGGATAGGGCTTGCTGGCCTCTGGTTTGGCATTCTCTCAGCTTTGAGGTCATGAGGAATGTGAAGCCAGTCACAAGCCAGACATAGTATTCGATCAGGGTTTCCCAAACTTGGATCTCCAGCTGTTTTTGGACTACAGTTCCCATCATCCCTGGTCCTGCTGGCAAGGGATGATGGGGAGTTGCAGTCCAAAATCAGCTGGAGACCCAAGTTTGCAAAACCCTGTATTCGATGGAGGAGTAAAAAGAAGGAAGATTAACTGACATGTTGCAGAGATGGTAGAAGTCATCATTTGAATGAATTTGGCAAAAGGGATTGAGAAACTTAGAATCTGTCCTGATATTAAGGTGTCAAGATATTTTGTCAAACAGATAAAACTCTGGCCCCTTTATAAGCTTCCCTTACCCCCTAACCATTGGAAATACTGGTGGGAGCTGGAATTGAACAATACCTAGAAAGCCATATGCTCCCCATCTCTGTCCTGTAAGATATCGTACCCTGTTCTTTATTCGTTAAAGATTGCTGGTTTAACCTTAATACAATAAACATATTACATTAGGTACATGCAATGCTAGACCAGGAACTAATGGCTCCTCTTTTTCCTGGATTGCAGCACACTATACAGTAGTTTGCAGTTACATCCAAACTAACATGGACGGTGAACCATAATTGCAGATTTGGGTTTAAACGTGGTTTCCAAGGCAAATACAAACCACCATTTACTACTTAGGGGTGATGTTTTGTGAGGGTTTGCTGCTGAGATCACACTCCAAATTTAATAATAATAATAATAAAAATAATAATAATTTATTTATACCCGCCCTTCCTGGTTCAGAAAACTGGGCTCAGGGCGGCTAACAACAAATTTAAAACACTTAATTGTGATACAACAAAAAACAGCATAAAATACAATATAAAAGCGTGAATAACAATAAATTCAAAGTTCAAAAATCAATTTGGAAGGAAATCCATCCAGTAAACATTAGATGGTCACCAGGGCTAGCTGGTTAAATTAGTCCTATTTGGGCCAGCGAGGAGGCCAGGGGAGAATTAGCTGTGGGGTCCCAGAGTGGGTAATCTTCATAAAAAGGGGAGGGGGAGGGAAGAGAGGGGAATAAAAGATCAGGCTAAATTCTAATTGAAATCCAGGTGGAATAGCTCAGTCTTACAGGCCCTGTGGAAGGAGGTTAAATCCTGCAGGGCCCTAGTCTCATGGGACAGAGCATTCCACCAGGTCAGAGCCATCACTGAAAAGGCCCTGGCCCTGGTGGAGGATAGTCTGACTTCCTTAGGGCCCGGGACCTCTAAACTATGGTTATTCATGGACCTTAAGGTCCTCTGTGGGGCATACCAGGAGAGGCAGTCCCATAAATACCACAACTTTGCCACTTTAGGCTCCTTCAGGCAGGAGGGTGTGATAAAAATCTAACGATACTAATAATAATACTAATAACAATAACTTTGAAGAGCAGAAGCCCTAAATTTGACTTATGAGGAGAGTAACTTGGTATTTAAATGGAGAGCTGGTCTAGGAAAGATGTTCATTTATAAGTGTTCCCTAATTAGGAATCGTGTAGTGATCGGTTCTTAAAATAAAAGTCACTTAATTATTTGGCAAGCCTAGCAGCCTTCCCCATAGCTCCTGTGTTTGCAAAACTTAAAAGAAACAATACATTAACGCTAGAAGAGAATTCTTGCAAATTGGGACCCCATGCTAAAGATTATGCTAGCTGCAATATTTTCCTTTGAAAGGGATTGGAAGAAATGGTAGTGCCAACAATTTCGTTGTTTTCACAGGTTTTCAGGATAATCTGTCTTTTCAAAAGCTGGACCGGTGTGGGGGTGTGGGATCTGTAGGATAATATCTAGAGCTGGAAGAGGGAAGGATCTGAAGCTTCTGAAACAACACTTCAGCAGTATTATCATGGAAAATTAAAGGCTTGTTTTCATTGCCTGACAAAGCAAATGGCACATGGAATATATCATCCAACTTGCTGGCTGGAGAGCAGACACTATTTTTGGTAGTTTGAACTAACGGCAAGCAGGTACGTTTTAAGTCATATCCTTTTTTGAACATGTGTGAAAAATCACTCCAGCCCAGTTAACATAAACAGAAGGGATCGTAAAACCGTTCCTTTTCAATGCTTGTGCCCCTAGAGTTGAAACACACCAACAGTGCCTTAGGGTTTGCATGAATATTTTTGCTGCCCTTTAAGTAACACACCAGCTATACTTTCCTCATGTCTCCTTTGTTAGAAGGATGCTGTCAAGAGAGCTGTACGGATCATTTTATCCTTCTAAAGGGAAAATAACTTTTATTGCTTTAAAGCTGAGCTGATGGTATCTGAGGCAGTGGTACCAAACTGTCCGCCTGTAATGAATGCTTTTCACATCGCCTTATCTGCTGATGAATGCCTATATTTTGGCAGAAAATCCAGATGCATGCAACCTGGGGTCTTCCAGATGTCTTGGGCCACAGCTCCCAACTGCCTCAGCCAGCATGCCAAATGGTCAGCGATGGTGGGAGTGGCAGCCCCCAACATCTTGAATGGGCAATAGGTTGTGGAAACTTCCTGGAGGGGAAACATTAACCCATGCTAATAGTGCAGGACTTTCAAGTTGTTTAGCATCTAGGGAAGGCCTATGGGGAGTGAGGGAAAATGTTGTTTTCTCCTTCCTCACAACTGACCCCCTCCACCCCACCTCTGGAGGTTGCTGAAGGGCTACAGGGCTCTTCTCCCAGGGAGGCTGGAGCTATAAACAGGAGCTGTCCTCTTGGGGGTTTGTGATCCACTGCAATATTTTGTTTCAGGTCTCACGCAGATCTTCAGGTTTATATCCCCTATTGTTATTGACATAAGTCTATACGGTGCAGCCAGCCCCCACAAATTAAAATGAGAGGCAATAAACGAAGTGTTGACCTTCTAGGAAAGAAGCAACATTACAGTCATAGCATATTTAAACATAACCTTTAGCACAGAAGCTTGGTGCTCTGGTAATGTTAATTAATTCACCTCTCCAAAAAACCAGCAAGTTGAGCAAGTATTACACATTCACGTTACAGATATAATAGAGAGGTTAAGGGCTTTCTAAATGTCAGCTACTGAGTCAGCAGCACAACTGATATGTAGATGCAACTTCGCCTTTCCCACAGCACCAAAGTCTTCCTCTACAGAATTGAGTGCATAGTCTAAATGCAACAACCTTGTGGAAACTAAGCAGGTCTGGATCTCATCTACATCTGGGTGAGGAACTTCAAATATATGGACTTGAGCTCTCCTTGCATGATTCTCCTCTTCATTTGTGCTCCTGCTCTCTCACATCATGCAAGAGGATCAGATAATAATATCAGTGGAACTCAACCTGATGCCCTCCAGATGTAGTGGACTATAACTCCCAGCAGGCCTAGTCAGCATTGCCAACAGGTACTCAGGGATGATGGGAGTAGTAGTCCACAACAATTGAAAGGTTTTATGATGGTTACCCTTGTTCAATAGCATCACTGGAATTTGTTCATGATGTTTGGGCCTGATGGGTGATCTGTTCTGTTCCACACAGCGTGCACACCCCACAAGAGATGGAACAGTTCTAACTGGAAGACGCTGTGCATTATGCACACACACTTTCAACATGCCCAGGGGTCGCCTGAACAACTTAGCTGCCTTATAGATACCTAATGAAATGTTCTTTCCTATGGCTCAATGCATGTGTGGTTTGTTCAGCAAATTACCTGGGTATGAAGAAGAAGACCGTCTAATTTCTGTGGTGTGAGGTGGGGTGGGTGTGTTCCACTAAGGCAGAGATTCACATGGTCTATGTGCTGTGCCCAGAGAGAGCCTTATTTGCACCCGCAACTTGCAGCCAAAGCATCACACAATGAATTAAATTACAACAACATCAAGTCTAGTTCTCTATTACCATTGTGTAGCAGGAAGAGCAGTCACATCCTTGTTGCCATTGTCCTATTTTAGGGATTGACCGAATGTTGACGTGAGTTATTAGATAATGAACCAGATCTACTGAGATCCAATGATATGATTAACCACTCCACTCTTTCTGGATGACCCCGCCCAAGTTCGGTGCTACGAAACTGGGAGCCTGTTAAATCAAAGAAGAAATTACACCAAGCGAAAACACTGACCCAGCCTTCTTAAAATAGGTATATTTTATATTTATATTTTACATACTTTACATTTACAGGATTTACAAAAGCTGCATCATTTTATGATCATCATTATACAAAGCAGTCTCAAAAGAATCATCACTTTGCATTCTTTTCTCTCTTGAATTTTGAGCGTTGCCAGAAAGAGGGGCAGAGAGAGACTTTGCATCCATCGGCAATTGTCCTTCGATAACAGTTCCGGTGTGTATAAGTCGAGCATTTTGCCCTTCCTGTCCCTAAGAGGGTCTCTCTGAGCTTTTGATCTCGAACGTCTTCTTTCAGCATGCTCAGAAATCTTTCCTGGCCCAGACTCCCCAAATTGCAATTAGGATGACCATGACAATGAGTGTGTAGAGTGTACCGACGGCAGTTTGCTCATTTCGACACCGCTGTTTGCACCCACAAGAATTCTGCACTGCCTCTCCGGTGGTAGCAGCAGGTTTTGGGCCTGTGAGCACGAAGGCAGTGTATTCTGCCGAAAGAAAAAAGAAACAATAGATTTAGCCTGTTGCCACTACTAACGTTTAAGGTGTTATTTTACAGAGAGTCTCTCCTAGCCCTACCTAAAGATGCTAAAGATTAAAGCCTAAGCCTAACCTTCTGCATACAAAGTAGATGCTCTCTTACAAAGCTATGGCCCTTCCTTCCCCCAGGAAGTGTCCTAACTGTGCTACTTGTGTCTTAACAATGTTGTATGAAGAAACCCTTAGTTCCTTCCATTGCATTGTTCCCGACACACACACAAAACCAAACCCCATGTCAGCAGCCTCATTATTTATCCCCTAGTAGGTCTTTCATCACAGTAGTCTGAAGCTGCAGATAAAATATAGCATCATCCCGATCTTATGGAATTTGTAGCCCGGTCGCAACTGGAATCCAATATGGGTATGACTTTCAGATATCCTCATACCTTAGGAATTTATCTGTACCTACCTATTGGCGTTTATTTACCAAAGTCAGACTAAACGTATTTCCCTCGGAAGTTCTAAATGGCAGACTGAGAGGCATCCCCTATCAGAATAGGCTTTGGTTATGTTCCCAGGACGTTGATTGCATGAAGCAGATCCTTCTGTATTGTGGGCAGTATGAGCAAGCAAGGGATCAACTGAGTAAACCCTCACTGGCAAATTTGCCAGGAAAATCCAAAGCCTCCCATATTAAATATCTTTTGGAAGACAGTTCAAATGATAGTACACTGGCCGTGGCAAAGTTTCTTTCGGAGGTTATAAGAAACAAAGATCATTATGCCCTAGATAAAACAAAATGACTGCCTTGGTTTCTTCCATCTGTCTGTCTGGTCGTTTTAACCATATCTAGTTTTGAAATTGTTTGGTGGGACCGCAATTAAGTTTTGATTATATAGCACCAGCATCCATAATATTTGCCTGTCATGATGGAAAGCTCTGCATGACATGCTCTCCTTCTGCTTTCCCTTTTACCAACGTGTTTCACCTACCTTCTAGAGGCATGCATTCCTTTTCCTCGGTGGATTGCTCTTGCAACTCTTCCCTGAAAGCGCGAAACCAGCCGAGATCCCGTCAATCAGTGACCTGAAAGCCCTCAGTCGGTAGCAGTGAGGCTGACTTTGCACAGCTGAAAGAGGAGCGGAGAATTGAGATCCTCCGGGATACAACTTTGGAGCTGCTGCTGCTGCTGCTGCAAGTCATGAACTAACTAAACCAATAGCACGTTCTCTCCCCTCGCTGACTGCTTGGGCCTTTATAAACAGAAGCAGCTAAGTCTCTGCCAAATGTGGAGCAATGAAAGAAGCCCTCCCTGTTTGTAGCATGCGCGTGTGCAAAAGGGAGGTGTGCGAGAAGTGGGGGAGACACTTGGCTGACAAAATAGACCGCTCTGTTTTCAAGCCAACCCTTATGCAGGACACAGACACCTTTCCACGATTCTTCTCTTGCGATACGAGCATGGGAATTTCTCAAACAGATCTCACGGGTACCCCAAGGGCTCGCAATAGCCAGTCTGAGCGGGAGGCTTATTGAAAATGTCACTTCTCAGAAGTTAACTTTGGATTCTACACAATGACATGTTTCTACTGGCATTGCACCACTTTGAAGGACAGGTGTGTGCCCCTAAATCAGGGTAGGCAACCTAAGGCCCTTCTCAATCCGGCCCGCAGATGGTCTGGGAACCAGCGTGTTTTTACATGAGTAGAATGTGTCCTTTTATTTAAAACGCATTTCTGGGTTATTTGTGGGGCCTGCCTGGTGTTTTTACATGAGTAGAATGTGTGCTTTTATTTAAAATGCATCTCTGGGTTATTTGTGGGGCATAGGAATTTGTTCATTTATTTTTTTCCAAAATATAGTCTGGCCCCCCCACAAGGTCTGAGGGACAGTGGACCAGCCCATGGCTGAAAAAGGTTGCTGACCCTGCCCTAAATAAACAAACTCCAGCAGTCCCTCCTCAGTCCTCACACAGTACATGGCCCAATGAACATGTACGGCTTTATACCAGCAGGTTTAGAATAAAAGGAGTAAGATTTCCTACATTACCTGCTCAGATCTTTAGTACAGTAAGGCTTCTTTATTTAAATCAGGCGTATACAAGTTGCGACCTACCATTCTGATACCTGCCAACATTTATCCGATGAAAATGGGGACATCCAATTCAACAACAACAACAACAATAATAATAATTTATTTATACCCCACTGGGTTGCCTCAGTCACTCTGGGCAGCTTCTAAAAGATATAAAAACATAATAAAATATTAAACATCAAAAAAAACTTCCCTCTACAGGGCTGCCTTCAGATGTCTTCTAAAGGCTGTATCTCCTTGGCTCAGGGGTTGCAGAACTTCATACCCTCCAACAATTCTCTGATGAAAATAGGGACGTCCTAAGGAAAAGCGGGACATTCCAGGATCAAATCAGAAACCAGGACGGCTTCTGTAAATCCGGGACTGTTCTTGGAAAACAGGAACACATGGAGGCCCACCTTCCTAGTTCCTTCATCCTGTACTTTCTAAATTTTCAGTGTGAAAATCCAGCTCTTCTGGCTGGCCAAAGATAGGAGAGAGAACAGAAGAGGGAGAGCGACATCAGAGACAGCGCTTTCACTCAAATCTTTTTCTGAGGGTGGGGAACGTATGTCAAGTTTGCCTCTCCGCTGCCAAAAGCAAAAATAGAAAGATGGATTTTCTTCCTCTCCAACAGAAGTTCAAAAGCCATTGTTATGCTCTTTGTCATAGTTTTTCTTGGCTTGTGCAAATGTGAGCCGTTAGCTCTGACACATTTTGAAAAGCCCTGGCATTTCTGTAGCATACATTTTCTGAGCCAAAACAAATTATACTTCACCCACTGCTAATAATGTGAATAGGAGCAGCCATCAAGAGATTTTTTTTTTAAAAAAAAGGAAACAAACAAACAAAAACTGGTGTGAAGGGTCTTTAGGGCTTGAAATTTATGGAGAAACTTTAAAATGATTCACACAACCTATAAAAAGCACTGTGCATTTAAACTCAAAGTGAGACTTGCCTGGAAAACTTTCATGAAAGCAATCCATCATCTGCTCTTCTTTTCTAGCGCTCGTAAGTGGAAAAGGAATCGTAAAAACCAACAGTAAAAATCCGGAGAAGGTTGCAGAAATGGAACCGAGGTCCCAAGATGAAACTGATAAGATATTTATGAAATCATCTCCAGTCATATTATTCCTAATTGCAATGTATGAAACAGGACAAATTGTGCTATGGCTTCAGTGACGCACTAAACATGCTTCATCGTTCCGGACTGAGAACCAGAATAAGTTTCGTGACTAAATTTATGGGCTGAAAGCTCATAGTTGAAAGCTCGGTCCAGCCCCAAATTTGCTAGATGGCCTTATGAGAGCCTTTACCTTAGCCTTGCGCCCCTTGCTCCATGTACAATGCTGGAATAACAGTCAAATCTGCACTTAGAGCACATGATTTGCCCCAGTTCAGGATCCAAGGTGCCACAGGCTAGCTTAGCTCCTTCTCGCCCACAGAAATCCCTGTTTTGGGGAATGCTGTTGGCGGCTGCCACCAGGGACCCCGTTCCCACACATTCAGCAAGTGGAACAGTGGAGCACAACACTGGCATCACAGAGGGCAGCAGAGCAGGGTCCTAATTCAGGGCCGGCCCTCCCAAGAGGCAAGGTGAGGCCTCAGGTGGCATGATCTACAGGGGCAACAGATACCAATGTAGACCCTGGGCAGTTATCTTTCCATAAGGGCTGACATTGATGCCGAAATCCAGCATTAGCTCTGCAAGTGCAGCTTTCTCTCGAGTAAAGTGCGGAGTGTTTGAGGACTGGGACATTTGCAGGGAAACCAAAATGCTTGTTTACAAAGCTGTTGTACTACCAACCTTACTGTATGCTTGTGAAACATGGACCACTTATAAACGGCAGCTCCAACTGCTCGAAAGATTCCATCAGTGGTGTCTCTGAAAATTTTTACACATCACTTGGGAAGACAGGCGAACTTATTACCAGTGTACTGGAAGAAGCAAAGATCACCAGTGTCAAAGCACTTTGTTGGACTGGTCGTGTTTTTCGGATGCCTGATTATTGTCTTCCAAAGCAACTACTCTATTCTGAACTTAAAAGTGGAAAGCGTAATGCTGGTGGTCAACAAAAGAGGTTTAAAGACTGTCTCAAGGCAAATCTTTAAATACGGTAATATAATGGTAGTATAAACACCAACAATTGGGAAACACTTGCCTGCACGCGCTCCAATTGGAGAACAGCCTTTACCAAACGTGTCATGGGCTTTGAAGGCACTTGAAGGACACAAGGGAACCAATATCCCCACTGTGGAAGGACGTGTGGATCCAGAATTGGCCTCCACAGTCACTTACGGATTCATTGTTAAAACCGTCTTTGTGGAAGACAATCTTACTCGGCTACGAAGGATCGCCAAAGAAGAAGAGGTGTCGTGCTATCCCTGGACTGCAGATTCCTTTCCTGTTTGTTTATATGGTGGATGAAATTTGGCAGTGAGATACTAAGACCCTCCACATCATAAAGCTACTGTGATACCAACTTATGATACATTCTGAGGTTTAGAGCTTACGCACCAACAAGATACACAAAAAGAAATAGACTTCATCCCCAAAAGGACTAATTTTTTCCGTTGTTTCCGGTTTCTTCCTGACACGGTAAGGGTGAGTCGGCAGTCAGCATTTGTCCCTGCCATTTTCACCTCTCTTCAATCCTTTCTCCCTCCTTCCCTGTCTTCGTTCGCCTTCCTGCGTTTCTCTCCTCCCAACTCTCAAGGCAATCTTGCGTCGTCTTGCCTCTCCCTCTCCTGGCTCTTCTCAATTTCAATCTCATCGCTCTTGTTCTCCCCTAACTCCCTTTTTCCGCGATAGGGTGTGCTCCACCATAGCAGAGCACCTTCCCTTGACCCGTCTCTGAGCGCAACACACCAGAAGCTCATTCTAGGTCTTCAATAAGGAGGTCTTCTGGAAGACAATGAAAAAGAGAGGCTTTCTGTATCCAAGAAAGGTATAACAGTTCTCCAAATCAAAGTCATTCTATATCTTCGACAATGATGTCCTCTGGAAGAGAATGAAAAAGAGAGATTGAATTAACAGCCTTTCTCAACTAAGCATTCTAAACAATACCCAAACCCAAGGGTTCAGCCACCTCAGCTTTTGTAGCTGGAGTCAGTCAGGGCCCTGCCTACTGAGGCGAAGTGAAAAAGGCCTGCAAGGCACAGCCAATACAGCAAGAAGGCCTGGGAGGTCTTTCCTGGGCACGAACCATAAAGCTACTAAGTGGAAAGTCCCCAGGGTGTGGAGATTCATTTACCTTCTTTGGGTGCTGGGCACATTTGCGGCAGCTGTTGTAGGCTATTGCCTTCTGCAGAGGAAAGAGAAAGCTGGATGAGACGCCTTTTGTGAAACTACAAAACCCACCATTGACAGGTGCAAGGGAGCCCACAAGGAGGCCCAAGCCAGGAAAGACTGGCCTCCCTCAGGCTTGGGCCCTATCCCTTGCCCCAGAGGACCTCCATGGGCGCTGCAGCCTCCTGGCAGAGGTGGAAGGGCAGCACCAGGGAAGAGGGCATGACATGCCTCTGGCATCATCCTGACACCCCAGGGACACACGCCACATTAGTTGCATTATTTGCTTTGGAAGCCTTTTGGAGGGTGGGGGTGGAAGTATTCAGAGACTGCAGAACTGGGAACAAAGACCACAGTCAGTGGGCAGAGGGTCTGGGGGATCCAGTCCCTCCTCTTTTGTTCCCCCCAGTACTAACCTCAGGCTTCGGAGAGTCTCGAAGAGCTTCGGCACAACTGCAACAAGTTAGGGACATGGGGACAGGTTAGTTCGTCCCTTTGCAGCTTCAAAGATTATTCTAATAATCTTCTGCTTGGTTCCCTTGTTTCTACACTCCTACTAATGGGGTGGCAAACCCCAGGCCTTGGGGCCAATCTTGGCCTGCAGCCCACCAAATGTGGCTCAGAAGAGAACGTGGCCCTCTAGCTGACCGTTGTCCCCCTGCCCTGTCCTACCAGCTGCCTCTGCCTCCTGCTTCCACTAGAAATGCTTCCTCTCCTCTCTCAGTCAAAAGCATCTTCATCAACCCCACAAAAGTGGCTGGCCACTGGGGTGGGTTTCCAGATGCTGGACCAGATGAACCTTGGGTTGGATCCAGCAGTCTGGCTCTTTTGGTTTTTTCTTAATAGCTTCCCCTCCCCCACAAATCCTATACCCTGAGCTGCCACCCTAGCCTATTCCTGCCCTTCCAAAAATGGCACGGGGGGAACTTCCTCACCTGGAGGCATAAACTTCTTCTCGCGCTGCAGCAGGGCCACTTTTCTGTTCTTTCTGAGGCGATGGCACCTCCTAGAGCATTGGGCACCCCAATGGCACCCCTAGAAGGGCGAATCCCCCCATCACGGTGGGCAGATCGCCCCTCCTCTGGGTGCCCATCTTCTTTGATGTTCTGGCTTCCTCCGCCACTGGCCACAGGCTGTTCCTTGTGCTGGAGCGGGGCCACTTCATTGCTCCTTTCTGGCTGCATGAAGCTTCTCAGTCGCTTGAACCTAGAAGAGATGATGCAGGACAGAGATACATTTAGCCTAATAGAGAATTGCCAGCACATCCCTCCCAATTCCTTCCCTCTTTCTGCAGTTGAATGAACTGTAGGACTTCATGACAGCTGCAGAGAGGCAGTCAAGAGCATTCAGGGCTTGGAGAGAAAGGTACCAGCTCCTGCCATTCCAGGACCAAGAGAGCCTGGCTACCATAGTTCATGCCCTGATTGCTTCAAGACTAGATGCCATGCACTATACGTCGGGCTTCCCTTGTGTTTGACCTGGAAGCTGCAGTTAGTGCAGGATACTGCAGCATGATTGCTGACAGGAACGAGGCCTTGTCGACATTGTTTTACCCTCTTGTAAACCGCTTCGAGGTGTGAGATATATATATATACACAATGAAGTGGTATATAGATTTTATGAAACAAACATGGGAGAGATTTTTGCCCCATCGAATAGCAGAGCTTTGGGTCATTCATTAACATCAATGGGCATTTCTTCACATAACACTTAATTGGTTTGTGAAATTGGCAGCCAAAATATGCAAAGGACAACTGTCTTGCAAGGTTGGAAAGAGGGGGTCACACCTCTTCATGGAGGAGGAGGAGAGTATTTGCGATTATGATCTGAAATAGCTGCAGTATGTAGAACTTCCAGGTTTAGAGGCAGTCTACAACTGAAGCCACCTGTTAGAGGACAATCAACAGGATTGGGCTATTCCTTGTGGGCTTCCTGGAGACATCTGGTTGGCCGCTGGACCAAAGAGGCCTTTGCTCTCCTTTTCCTGCTATGCTAATCCCATGAGGGATTGCAACACTCCACCCTGAAGGAAAGAGAAGCATGCCAGCATTTAAAGGGTGCCTCTGCCTAGTCTTTGAAGGACAGCCCTGCCCAGAGAGGGAGGAGACTGCTAGGTGGGTCCTCCAAGCATCAAGGGGTCCAAGAAGAGGAGCAGAACAACACTGGGCGGCCGAGAGAGGAAGGTGGCGGAGTCTTGCTTACAGAGACCCACAGAAAGGGCTTGATGGAGAGATGGAAGATGGAGGCGGGGAGACATGTAGTAGTTAGAGTGCTGGACTAGGGGGACCTGGAAGACCAGGGTTCGAATCTTCATGAAGCTCACTGATTGACCTTCAGCCAGTCTTTTTTCCCTCAGCCTAGCTTACTTTGCAGGGTTGATGTGAGGGTAAAAACTGGTGGCGGAGAGAACCATGTATGCCATCTTGAGCTCCTGGGAGGATGGCTGGCCTATGAATGTAAACAATGAATGTAATTGATGAGATGGGAGAGGAGAGGAAATAGGAAGGCAGGGAAAGAGTGTGGAGGAGCTGAGCTCTTCGGGAGGGGAGTGACTGGTCAAGACAATTTCAGGGGGCTGAGGCTGTGCAGGGGATTCCAGGATCCCACCCCAGGAGGCATAGAGAAGGGGAAGAAATCCTACTTACAGTTTGAAGTTGAACATGGTGTACAGAAATTCCCTCCTTCCTGGCTGTACTACCTACGCCAAACCGTACCTCTCCAACCACCTCTCCTTCCACCAATCACACACACTCCTCCCTCTCCTGATCTCCTGACTAATCCACAATGGACACCTGTAGCTGGTGGCTTTTAAAGGGGAAGCAAGAGATGTCACAAAGGAGGGCAAGTCATTGTTACCATGGCAACCCACCCACCTTGACTCTGGGCCAAACTTGCCCCTCCTGATGTTTCTTCAGAACTTGGAAGGACCTGCTGTTCCGTCTGCAGGTGAATCCTCTCTTTTGGAGTTCATGTTTTTATATCGGATCATTCTTCATTCAGCCCCATTTCCAAAGGGAGACAATCCCAACGTCCCTTGAAATGCAGGAGAAGACGCCCAAGTCTAGGGGTGTCCATAGCATAGGATTAGACAATCTGCTTTGCCTTATCACCATCCTCACTGATATTCCTGGATGACATCTCCAGGTGGGACAGAGAAGGTTCCCTGTCTGAAACCAGTCAGATGCTGCCAGTCAGTGTTGACGATGCTGAGGTGGATGGGTCAATGTCTGACTCTGTCCAAGGCAGTTTCCTATGAATATTCATCTTAAGTCATTTACTCTGAAGACAAGCAAGCTAACTTCTCCACAAGACCAACAATCAATTTCTCCATTTAGAAGGCAATATGGAAAAGTCCCAGTTTTATATACAACAATGCAAGTACAAAAATCTTGAATATGAGAGGAAGCAAAATTCTGAATTCTGTAATGAAGCAATAGGCAAAGGGTCCTGAAGCAGAGCAAGTTGGGGGGGGCATCTGTCAGGGACTCTTCACTGTGATTCCTGCATTGCAGGGGGTTGGGCTAGATGGCCTTTGGTGTGGCCCCCAGTTCCATGAGTCTGTAATTCTAGGTTTGTACTCTGTACTGGGTCCTGTTATATTTATGCAGCATCACTTTTCTATATGCCTGCTTCAGTCCTTGGAGACCTAGTTCATTATCCCTTCAAAAGCATGTCTTTAATGTGGTACCTTGTTGAAGGTGCACACCTCATTCCTGGCATTTACCCTGTGCACACCACAAAACACATTTGTACTACAAAAAACATAAACAGCAAACCACCAATCCTGCATTGAACATATCTATAATATATAAAATTTTCATTAAAATTTCTGTTTTGCAATTTTGAATATTCATTTAAAAATCTTAAAATATCAGTAACTTCCCTTCTTCGCTTTCCTTGCTTCATTTTGCATAGCATAAATTCCTGCATCTTTTACATAAACTAAACTATTCAGTATTCCATTACTGTATTACACCCATCAAAACTTATTTACATTGTTGAATTTATCTTAAAGCTGCCAACGTTTTCAAGTATACACAATTTCCCCCCATATATTCAATAAACATTGTCCAATCTTCTTTAAACATATGTTCTTCTTGTTCTTTTATTCTATATGTTAGGTCTGCAAACTGTGCATATTCCATCTGTTGAAGTTGCCATTCTTTCGTTAGATGTTAGCCCTGCCCTATAAATCTTATTGATTGGAATTCCGTTCCTCAGTTTAAAAAAAACCCCTGTTTATTTCCCCCCATTGTGTTCCCTGGGTGTAACCAGTGTGGGGTGATCTTATGGGAGTGGCCCAGAGGGCCACAATAAATGTGATAATGTTCCCCTGTAAATCCTTGAGTGTGCTTCTAATAGAGAAATTATGGTACCCTGTTACTTTATGAAACTGATTATTTTTCAACATGTGCCACTCTCGTTGGGGGCAGAAATACAGCTAATATGTACGGTAAATCACAAAGATACAGCACAAAGCTAGAATATAAGTTGCTCCATGATAAAAATGGCTGCACGTGACACAGATTCCCAACATGCACACTAACACAATGTATACCTGCAAGGTCATCGCAGAACACTGTGGGAATCCGAGCTTAGTCAGCAGAAACAGCCAATGCTTATGCATATGATTGATCTATCAACTTAAATGAGGTAATGAAGTACGATTGGTGGAAATTGAAATGCTTTGTTTGAAACTTTATAAATACCACTGCCCGGACCACTGGGGCGGGGTTGCAACTTTTGCAAAGCTATCCCATTGTAACCTATTGCTTTGCAATAAACAACATTGGATTTCTACCCTGCAGTCTCCTGAGTTTTCTTTATTGGCATAACGCAGGAGATAAGGCATTATTTGCTTACAACAATCTGAGTGCGCATTTGTGTGTATGTGTGCATATGGGCCAATAAATCATGGCATATGCCCCCTACGCTCAGCAGACGGTACCACACTTCTAAAAGATAAAGAAGCTATTGCACTGCGCTGGAAAGAACATTACCAACATCTCTTTAACCACAACTTCCCCGTAGCTGCTGAGGTCCTCTCACAAATTTCGCAAAAACAAGTTAGAGATGAGCTTGCAGTATCTCCAAATCTGGGAGAGTTGTGTACTGCTATTAACCAAATGAAAAACAACAAAGCCTGAACTTTAAAATAGAAAGCGTAATGCTGGTGGTCAACAAAAGAGGTTTAAAGACTGTCTCAAGGCAAATCTTAAAAATGTAGTATAAACACCAGCAATTGGGAAACACTTGCCTGCAAGCGCTCCAATTGGAGAACAGCCTTTACCAAAGGTGTCATGGGCTTTGAAGACGTTCTAACACAGGACACAAGGGAGAAACGTGCTAAGAGGAAGGCACGCTTGGCAAATCCACACCGTGACCAACTCCTGCCCGGAAACCTATGTCCCCACTGTGGAAGGATGTGTGGGTCCTGAATTGGCCTCCACGGTCACTTACTGACTCACTATTAAGACTGTGTTCATGGAAGACAATCATACTTGGCTACGAGTGATTGTCAAAGAAGAAGATAGATCTTTATTCCCCTTTGTTCCTGATGTCGATCTTCACTCTTCTTCTTCCCATGGCAGGGAAAGGGAGCCCATTTTATGGTTCACCTCAGGTGCCAAAATGCATTGGGTCTGCCCTGCCCTAATCCACACACACTTGCAGCCCCATACATGTTTGCAGCCTTAGGCTGCAGCCCTATATACACCCTTGCTAGGAAGAAACCCTCATGAAATGCACATCGGATTGAGCTGCAAAGCGGCAAACCGAAACAAGCTTACTAAGAAAAAAGCCCATTGAACACCATGGGACTTTCCCCTGACATAGCTAACATAGATTGACAGTGTCATTCACAGGCAATCTGGGCTGTGATGCTATCGCCTCCTCTGCTAACCCAATCTGAGTTATTTTTAAAAGGTCCTTTACAAAACACGAATCTAGGCAAAAACAGAAAACAGCATGGATTTAGGAGATTGCTAACATGCACAATTATTAAATCATGCATTAGCACTTATCTTGCTGACAGCAGAGAGGAACACGTATTTATTTCCTGAATTTAAAAGATTGTTACTTTGCACACTTATGCATAAGAACCTTTATTTCTCACGACAGAGAGTAACACGTATCTCTCCCCTGGATTTATTTCACTCGTTTCCTGGCAAAAGTGTGCAAACCGAGTTCAGTTTTTCACATATCTATTGACCCCAAATAGTGAGCCCCACTGAATCATTTGAACCCAACGCTGTTCGTATCCTGTTGGCCTTTCACAAGCAATCGGGTCACAGAACTCGCGTCGACTTGCAGCTGGGCGAAAGCCGGCAGGGGG